AAAACAATCCCAAAAAGATATCTTCTTGATAGTGTAGAACTCAAGCTATCCTTCCTTTCAATCATGCATTTTGTCTCCTAAAAGAAAAAGAAAAAAAAACTTCCCTTTTCCGCCTCCGCTGGCCGTCGTCCACCGTCGCCGGAGCCTCCCCACGAGTTTTCCTTGCTCACCCACAAAAGAAGAGCAGAAACCCAGAAAAACCCAGCAATGGAGAGACCCAAAACAACCCACTCTGTTTTCCTCTGTTTTTCATCTCTGCTTTTAGTCTTACTTACCGCCATGGATAAACCCCTCCCAGTCTCCTCTCTCTCTCCCGACGGCGAAGCCCTCCTCCCACTCCTCTCCGCTGGAGAGTCATCATCATCATCATCACCACTACTCCTCTCTTCATGGAACCCATCTCACCAAACCCCATGTTCATGGCCAGGGATAACATGCTCGCCGCAGAACAGAGTAATCTCTCTGTCTCTCCCAAACACATTCCTAAACCTCACTTCAATACCACCAAGCCTCTCTTCCTTAACATATCTCCAGCTCCTAAATCTCTCATCCACAAACATCTCCGGTGAAATCCCACCTTCATTAGGCCAACTATCCAATCTCAAACTACTCGACCTATCTTCAAACTCCCTCTTCGGCTCCATCCCTCGAGACCTCGGCCGCCTCTCTTCGCTCCAATTCCTCTACCTAAACTCCAACAGACTCGCCGGCAAAATCCCGCCGGAGCTCGCCAATCTCACTTCTCTGGAAATCCTCTGCCTCCAGGACAACGAGCTCAACAGCTCAATCCCGCCTCAACTCGGCTCGTTGGTTTCATTGCAGCAGTTTAGGGTTGGAGGAAACCCTTATTTGACCGGAGAAATCCCGCCGCAGCTCGGGACGCTGACGAATTTGACCACATTCGGCGGCGCGGCCACAGCGCTCTCCGGCGGGATTCCTTCCACATTTGGTAACCTGGTCAACCTCCAGACTCTGGCTCTTTACGACACTGAGATAGTTGGCTCGATACCAGGTGAGCTTGGCTCTTGTTTGGAGCTCAGGAACTTGTATCTCCACATGAACAAGCTGACCGGTTCAATCCCCGGTCAGTTGGGTCAATTGCAGAAGCTAACCAGCTTGCTGCTGTGGGGGAATGGGTTAACCGGTTCAATCCCTGCCGAGCTTTCGAATTGCTCGTCGCTTGTAGTGCTTGATGCTTCCGCGAATGATCTCTCCGGCAGCATTCCTGGAGATTTAGGGAAATTGGCAGTCTTGGAGCAGCTGCATTTGTCGGATAATGCGTTAACCGGTTTGATTCCAAGCAAGTTGAGCAACTGTACGAGCTTGACCGCTCTCCAGCTCGATAAAAACCAGCTTTCCGGCTCTATTCCTGATGAAATCGGGAACATGAAGCTCCTGCAGAGCTTGTTTCTATGGGGGAACTCAGTTTCAGGCACGATTCCATCATCCTTTGCCAACTGCACTGAGCTCTACGCCCTTGATTTGTCGCGAAACAAGCTGACCGGTTCGATCCCGGATGAGCTCTTCAGTTTGAGAAAGCTGAGCAAGCTGCTACTACTGGGGAACTCACTATCAGGAGAGCTTTCTGAATCAGTGGGCAACTGTGAGTCCTTAATGAGACTAAGGCTCGGAGAAAATCAGCTCTCGGGGCGAATTCCTAAGGAAATTGGTCAGTTACAGAATCTTGTCTTCCTAGACTTGTACATGAATCATTTCTCAGGCGAAATCCCTCCGGAGATCGCCAACATTACAGCTCTGGAGCTGCTAGACTTGCACAACAACTACATTACTGGTTCCATACCTTCTCAATTGGGCAAGCTGGTGAACTTGGAGCTGCTCGATCTTAGTCGAAACAGATTCAGTGGAGAAATCCCTTGGAGCTTTGGTAACTTCACTTACCTGAACAAGCTGATCCTGAACAACAATCTGATCACCGGTTCCATCCCTCGGTCGATTCAAAGCTTGCAGAAGCTCACATTGCTCGACCTCAGCTACAACTCTCTCTCGGGGGAACTCCCTTGGGAGCTAGGCCACGTCACTAGTTTGACCATAGGCCTCGACCTGAGCAACAACGCGTTCTCTGGCCAACTCCCCGAGTCGATGTCTGGATTGACTCAACTTCAATCTCTTGATCTTTCCCACAACATCCTCTATGGGAAGATTAAGGTTCTTGAGTTGTTGACTAGTCTTGCTTCATTGAACATTTCCTGCAACAACTTCTCAGGTCCTATTCCTGTAACAGCTTTCTTCAGAACTTTGAATTCAAACTCTTATTTACAAAATCCAAATCTTTGTGAGTCAGTAGATGGGATGATTTGCTCGTCGAGGGTAGCTCAAGCGAGGGGATTGAAATCAGGGAATGCAATTGCCTTGGTATCAGTCATTCTGGCATCAGTAACACTAGCATTGTTGTCCTCATGGATTATAGTTACAAGAAACCATAGCTACATTGCTGAGAAAGCTTTAGGAGGCTCTTCGTTGGAGGGCGAGGATTTTTCATACCCTTGGACCTTCATTCCATTTCAGAAGTTGAATTTCTCGATAGACAACATCTTGGAGTGCTTGAAAGATGAGAACATAATCGGGAAAGGCTTCTCTGGAGTTGTGTACAAGGCCGAGATGCCTGGAGGCGAGTTGGTTGCAGTGAAGAAACTGTGGAAGACTAAGCGTGATGAAGTTAACATCATCGACTCATTCGCCGCTGAGATTCAGATTCTAGGCCACATTCGACATAGGAACATTGTGAAGCTATTGGGGTACTGCTCGAACAAGAGTGTGAAGCTGTTGTTGTATAACTACGTACCGAATGGCAATCTACAGCAGTTGTTGCAGGAGAATAGAGGGTTGGATTGGGAGACACGGTACAAGATTGCTGTGGGTTCAGCTCAGGGTTTGGCTTATCTTCATCATGATTGTGTCCCTGCTATACTCCATCGAGACGTGAAGTGTAACAACATACTGCTCGATTCGAGGTTCGAGGCATATTTGGCCGATTTCGGGCTTGCTAAGCTGATGATGAGCACCCCAACCAATTACCACCATGCTATGTCTCGTGTTGCTGGTTCTTATGGATACATAGCTCCAGGTAAGCTTGTCTGTTTTAACCTTTTTTCTTCATATCAGGTTTGATTTAAAGTTGGTCAGTGTTAAAGTTCATAACTCTTTGGACTTTAGGTGGACTTGTTCTGATGCCTCATGAACAATCTGCGAAGTTGTCTTAACAATTTAGCCTTCTTTATTGTCAAAGATTCAAACTTCGACTTCGGTTGACTTGTTGTGATGATGATGATGAATGAATGAATGTGGGAAGGTGCCTTAACCGATTATCTTTCCACATTCCATCACTTTTAGCCTTCATCAATGTCAAAGATTCAAACTTTGGCTTCAGTTACCTTGTCAATAACAATGTGGGAAGCTATCTTCCTAACCATTTCATTACTCTTAGCCTTAATTAGAGTTAAAAGTTAAACTTCAACTTCAGTTTCTTTGTCGTCCCGATGATTAACAATGTGGGAAGCTGTGTTAAGTTTTTTCCATTTGCATTTCGACATTCATTTACGTTTGAGCTCTTCATCAATGTTAAAGATTCAAACTTTGACTCACTTTGCAGAGTATGGCTACACCATGAACATCACCGAGAAGAGCGATGTGTACAGCTACGGAGTCGTGTTGTTGGAGATCCTGAGCGGGAGGAGCGTTGTGGAGCCACAGATTGGCGACGGGCTCCACATAGTCGAGTGGGTGAGGAAGAAGATGGGGAGCTTCGAGCCAGCCACGTCGATACTCGACTCGAAGCTCCAAGGAATGCCGGACCAGATGGTGCAGGAGATGCTTCAGACGCTTGGCATCGCCATGTTCTGCGTGAACTCTTCGCCCGCAGAGAGACCGACGATGAAGGAAGTGGTGGCATTGTTGAATGAGGTGAAGTGTCCACCCGAGGAGTGGGGGAAGAGCACTTCTCAGCCCTTGATGAAACAGTCTGCAACTCAGAGTTGAGAGAATAGGCTTTTTGGTGGCTTAGTTAGAACTTTTTAGGCAATTCTTTTGCAGGTGATCTTTAGTAGGATTTAGGATCTGTTGTTTATGTTGGGGTTTCATGGTGTACAGTTTTAGAGATAGAGATTGTGTTCTGTTCCTCTCTTGTTTCAGGTTATGGAAATAATGGAATTAAGAACAATTCAGATTGGCATTCCTCATTGCAGTGCTATTTCATCTCATTTCTAGTTGTTTGAAATTTAGGGAGTACTATCTAACAACCATAACGTAGTATAGGTACTAACTTGTCAACTTATCAAATTGGTTCCATAGTTTGGGAGGTAGAAGCCATATTGAATCCATCATTTCAATTTTCATGAACTCTTCATGGATAGATATCTTCTAAGTAGTAATCTAATGTTTGTAAACTCATTGCATTCGTTATATATCTAGCTTAACCCCTTGGAAACGATACACAATCAATCATTAACGTTCAGGTTTATTAACAAGTTGCGTCTTTATTAACTATCATATTGATGATTTCATCTATCTTCATCTATTTACCATTCAAATTAATCACCTCGCCTTCTTCATCTTATTAATATGATATACTTTCAAAAACGCTAGTCTAAAATGTTTCCCATCCAAACTAAGGCGAAATGAAAGATAAGAAGCTTGAGAAACATGTGGGATGTTTCATGTTTGCCATATTTTTTGGTAGCTATAATTAAAGGCCACTAACAACAAACTTGTATTGTATATGAGATCTTCACTCCAATCCACCTAGTCTTCTACTCTTCTTCAATGTTGTCCAATCCATAAAGGAAAAACCACAAACTTTCGAGAGAGTGGGAAACAAGAGAGGAGTCAAACTTTGTTCAAGTAGTGGAAAGTATAGAAGAGAATGGGTGGTGATGGTGATGATGGGTTTCTTGAGTTTTGGATATAAAGCAAGAAAACCCATACTACATAGGTGATGACATAGGGTTTCATGTGATTTTGCTTGGAAGCTACTTCATTAACAAGGCAAGAAGCCACATCTTCATTGGAGGATTCCACAAGGTGCAAATTGACCCTTTTTTTACTTTCAATAGACACCACAATCGAGCACTCACCTTGTCCCCAAAAGCCATATCATTCCATTTGCTCAAGTTCCTGTCTCTTCCTACTCCATCTGTGGCTTCCCCATCCCATCTGTGGCTTCCCCATCTCCACATTGCACCACTAGTTGATCCCTATCAGATGCGTAGCTCGGTCGGATTCGAAAAGACAGTATCTGTATAGGGTATATCAAAACAAGATACATTCATTTCTTGAGTGAAGCAAGAAAACTGCCTCTGTTTTCAATAGATACAAATGGGAATACTTCTTCACGTGGTTACAGAACTTGCCATTCTCTATCAAAACATCACAGCAGTTCAAACAACATAAAACAGTGATCTTTGTAACTCTAAAAGCTACTTAATCTGATATTCGAGGAAACCATCAACCGAGACTTGATGATTCCCTCTTGTTAGACGAAGACGACCTGCCTCTCAAGGCTGCAACACTAAGTTTTGGACCTCCTGGTTGAATCGCAGTTGGACTTCGTTTCTTTCCCGTTTGTTTCTTGGGACTTGAAGAAGACTTGAATGCCTTTGAAGAATTTGCGGCCTTTGAAGGCTTCTCGTTCTTTGAAGGCTTCTCGATCTTCGAGAACTTCAATGTTTTTCCAACCTTCACAACTCTCCTAGATGGTGTTGCGGGAGAGGGCTTTCGTCCAGAGCTTCTTGTAGAACCCTGGACCTTGGTCGAGCTGTTAGATTTAACGCCAAGAGGTTTAGTCTTGCTACTCTGGCTGGATGATTTCGACAGTCTTACATTCTTCCCTTTCTGTTCAGTAATACGAGCCCGGGCTTTGTCTCTTCGAACGCCATCCATAGTGAGGGACTCCAAGCTCTCGTTCTTTCTTATAGCCTCCTCGATCTTTGTGGCTAGTGGTACGTCCTTTTTAGTGATCAAGCTCGTTACTTTACCTGAAGAGAGAGCATATGAAAGGCACAATCTGAATATTAGAGTGGAGCAAGAATGACGTTATAGAAGTGTAAGATATTGTATAATCAATCATTACCTTTTGCGCCCATTCGAGCAGTTCTTCCAGTCCTATGAAGGTAATCAACCTACAACATCAAAAGCAAGAAGGAAAAGGTCAAGAGATAGTCCTTTTGATCTCTAGTGCCCATCCCTCCCCCTCTTTCCCTCTTAAGTCATTCATTTCCTTCCCTCCTCTGCTATTGATTCAGTGCTTCAGCAAGCTTTACAGACACAACGCATTTCTTGACGCCACTTAAGAAACTCTTTCAGTTGTGAGCAGATTTTACACCAAATTAATGGTTGAGGGACCAAGAAGAATTACCACAATATTTGATAGCTGCCAACGAGGACTAGATACTCAAATTTCAACGAGGACTGTAGTTGATTTTTTACAATTTGTCACTAATGTTTGAAATAACTAACATAATAGTCACCCAGATAATCACTGTTAGGTTTATTTTAAAAATTAGCCCAACTCATACAAATTAACAATGGAGGGGCCACATAGCTAAGTAGCTTAGATGAGCGGCCATACTTGATCCAAACCAAAACCATTGCTCAATCCAATTCCAATTCAGTTAACGTTACACAACCCTAATCCAAGTCATTGATGTGTAATTGACACAGAAAAACACTGTAGAATACTACTAGAATAACAATGGAAAAAGAGAAGTCACTTACAGAGTTCGAGGGAAAATCAAACATTATCACATGGTCTACATCCAAGTCTAGCCCTCTAGCAGCCAAGTCCGTACAAACCAATGTGGGGCAATCTCCATCGTCGCTTTTGAATTTGTTCAGATTCTGAACCCTGTATTTAAAGAATAACAGGGATTACGTATCAGTTTGATGCTACGAATTCTTAGCAATTATCAAATTATCATTGCTATGAATAGTCTCACCTCTCCTCTGCCGGGACCTCTCCATGGTAATTAACAGTAGCCATCTGATTCTCAGAAAGAAAATGGTCCACAGCACGGCTAGAATTCAGGGTATTACAGAAGACCATCACCCTGTTCCCCTTGGCCAAACTTGGCTCAAGAACCTGAATTTCATACCGGTTCTTTCACTGACTTTCACTGACATTTTAAAAAATAAGCATAACTAGTTAATTCCCCCCCCCCCCCCCCCCCCCCCGTTACCTGTAGCAATGCTTCGAGCTTATTTTCAGAGCCAGAGAGTTTTATGAAATCATGGCGAGCAGATGCAACCTTTCGATGCAGTGTCGATGTGCGTAAATGCACTATGCCCTGGAACTCCTCATCGACTAGCATTTGAACTCCCTGTGAAATCTCTATACGGTCAATACTGCGAATTACCTCATATGCGAACGCAGTTCCATTATATCCCACCAAACGGACAAGAGAACCACAATCAATAACACTGCCAGTCCCAAGAAAGTTCAACTCATGAAAATGTAATTTGGACAAACTATTAGCATGAATCCATCTCATTTTCAAGCTTGATAAAGGCGCAACCTTTGGCAAATTTACATGGAGATGTGCCAAGAATTGTTTCAGTCACCTAAAAGAGCTGGGGTAAAATTTATCCCAAATGAGCTACCTATCCCTTTGTTTTGGGTTGGGAAAGCAGTTGCGGAGGGCACAGAAACATTCAGACTTCAAAGGTAACAAACATGAAGGTGTAGGTGGAGACATGTCCAACTAAGAACCAAGAGAACAGAGAAGAAATTTCTAACTTCTACTTGGTAACTTGAGAAGCATTCTTGAACTCCTCAACATAACCAAATGATTATCTCAGATAAAAAAGAAAACTTTGAAGTTCAACACAATGTACCTTTGTCATTGTTGCAGCAACCAAAACAGTTTGAAACCCTTGCCCGTCAGCCTTTGACGCACGATTTTTCAGCGGAGCAAGAAACTTACGAATATCAGGACCAAACCCACGATCAAACATAGTATCTGCTTCATCCAAAACCTACTAGAGAACAGGAAAATCACTACAGGCTCTCGCATATAGTTGTATGAAGATCAAGCCAATCAAAAGTTTCTAGACACTCACCACATACTTCACATCTCCATACACAATATTGCCTTCCTCAATATGTTGAAGAATCCTACCGGGAGTCCCAACAACCATATCAACAGCGTTATTTAGTGAGTCTTCCTGCGGTCTCAACCTTCCACCACCACTAACCATGATAGACCTGAACCGAGCGTGATGGCTAATCGACTTGGCAACATGGAAGACCTATGGATGGTAGTATGTATGATCATCAAAATGAACAAGGCCATGGGAAAAACTAACCAATTCAGTCGAAGAAAGAAAGATCAAAACCTGCTCAGATAGCTCCCTAGTGGGGCATAGCACAACAGCTCGAGGACGCTTTGGCTTCATCATTCTACCTGATAATGCCTCATCCTGTCTTATCAACTGCATAACACCAACATAAATTGAACTCAATCCACTAGGCAGAAATCCATCGTACAAAATAACTCGAATTTCCCTATCAAAAACTGACCTGAACAATGGGCAAGAGATAAGAGAGAGTTTTTCCTGAACCAGTATGGGAACCCAAAACCACACTCTGGCCTTCCAATACAGCAGGAATCCCAAGGCACTGAATCTCGGTGGGAACTTCAATTGCCATCTCTTTGAGGGCAGCCATCACCTCTTCGCTCAAACCCAGCTCCTCAAAACTCCCCACCATAAACGTCTTCCCTTTCTTCTTCCTATCAGACCCATTCCAATTCTCGCCCTCTGCAGCAGCTGCGGCAGCGGAAGAAGAAGAAGGTCGGGAACTGGATTTGGAGGGTTCCTTGAGGTGTCTGGACCTAAGCCTCTCCAAGAGAATAGCGTGCTTTGCCTGTTCCGGGTCGGTGATTTCGGCGGCCGGCGCTGCTTCGGTGGTGGTGGCTGATGCTGTGCAGATGGGTTTGAAGTTAAACCCTAGCAAAACCCTGCTGGGTTTAGGCAACCGAAGAAATGGGCGGTGGCGGGGGAAGTGGGTGAGTTTAGCTGCGGCGGAGTGGGAGAGTGAAAGGAGTAGGGTTCTGGAGGCGGCTGCCGCCATTGTCATTGTTGAATGCTCGTTTGGGCGCGGGGCTTTCTGGCTTTTTGCCGGGGAAGATTTTATTTGCTCGTTGCAGTGGGAAGGAAGGGAAATAAACGGATTGGGGAGTACCAAGCGAAGTGAGTAGGAATGGCAATCAAACTCATGGCCGCGGATACCCGACCGCCCTTGATCCAGTCAACGTGGGGAATTTCCGCTTTCACCGGGTATGGGTAAAACCCGCAAAAATATGATGGGTATGAGGCGGGTATGGTTTTAGCTTCCCCCGCCCCATACCCATACCTATATCCATATCCGCTCCACCAAGAGAATTTCTTCATATATCAAAAAAATATGTGGATTAAATTGTAATCTATCAATGATGATGATGATAACTCGAGAAAATAAATAGTAGAAATGCAATTGAGTAACCACCTTAATCAAAATCTAATTCATTTCCCTCAATTCTCCTTACACTCTTTCACTTTCCCCCTTGTCAACAAGATTATGTTAGTTAATTATTACTTAGTAAATGTATCAGGAGTTAGAGCATAATAATTTAAAAAATATCGTAGTCTATATGATGTATTAATGGATGTTTTAGGATCATATTCTTTGAATCGTATTTAGAAAATGACCGTGTTTTGTTGACTTCATGATATAATAGGTTTGTTTATGGTTATAATTAAAACTTTTCTTGTAAGTTTTAGGTATAATAATGTTGGATGTACGGGGATGGGTATTACCCATGGTACCCGAAACCCACGGGTATGGGGATGGGTTTGCAAAACATTCCCCGCATGGGTATGGGGCGGGTATGGGTTTGGGTATTTGAAGATGGGGATGGTTTAGGCAAACCCGCCTCAAACCCGCCCCATTGCCATCCCTACAAGCGAGGCAGCAGCGAGCGGCTTCACCTTCGGTTAAATTGCCAATTGGTCACCCAACTAACTTATATCAATCACATTGAGCACTGAGCTTAGTAGTTTGGCTCTCCATAGTCAAATTAGACATGACAAATTGACAATTTCCACCTGATCCGTCCGAACTTATTTGTGAGCGGAAGGGACGAATATTAATATTAGTTTCGACTTGATTTGTGCTAATCCACTTTATTTTTAATCTGTGTTGTCTAAGTTACCGAACTTCTATTTAACGTCCTATATTGAGGATATACAAGTATTAAGGAAACCAATCAATAAATCTACTCATCTAATTGGATTTGAATTTAAAATGATTTGGATTAGTTGAAGGTTTTAGTGAATGGAGTGAATAGGTGGATTGGATTCAAATTGCCACCTCTACTCCTAAGAGATTTTCTATTTAATATTGTCATATATTTTCGATCATAACTAGGGATGTGTAGTGGTTTGGTCCATTCCATGCGACTCAAACCAAATATAATGCAATCTTGTCATTGATCTCACGAATTTTATAAATACTAAATAAATGGACCAAAGTGAAATTTGAACCAAACTAAATCATACCAAACATAATGATAGTTTAATCCTTCACCCTAAAATATATTTTACTATTAGATCCCGGTTCTCATGAGTATGATCCTGACACACCCTATTCGCGATTCTCATTAGTTCGATCCGGACATACTCCTAATTGTCCCGATGAAAATGTTAACACACAAAGCGATGCAACAATTTCTAACAGCATAATCACACCAAGGGTCTTGGGGCAATGTGGAAGTAGAGCTAGCATTTGAAGTTTAGGTCAAGATACAAGCGAAGCAGCCAAATTGTTCACATGAATACTTCTCACAGCCAAATCAATGGTCTCAAATCTCTCCAAGTAGCAAAAATCATCATAACTGATCATATTTATATCTCCACAGAATTTCTGAAGGCAGATTGTGTCCATCAATCAAATTTTGCTCAATAACTAGGAGCTGCTTGTTGCTTTGAGACCAAACTAAGAATCTAAAAGCTACCACCCCTGAGAGCAAGCACAAGATGAAGCACTGAGCCACCTTCAATGTTGTACTCTTTGGCTGTCTTGTCATCTGCAAGCTGCTTCCCCGCATAGATGAGCCTGAAATACGCAGAGCACGAAAAAAAAACCACGTTAAGTTTGCCCTAAGAAGACACGATCATAAGGAATGAATGGAAACAATGGTGGTGCTGCTGCTGCTAGTGAGCAAGAGTGTCATTTCAGGCATGGAAAGTAAAGAGAACTGCAGACTAGTGATTGACTTTTACCTCTGCTGAATTGGGGGAATTCCTTCCTTCTCTTCAACCCTTTCCTTGATCCTATCAATAGTATCGGTAGGTTCGATATCGATCTCGATCTCTTTCCCTGTCAGAGTTTTCACCTTGATCATAGTCCCTCCCCTGAGCCTGAGCACCAGGTGAAGAGTCGACTCCTTCTGAATGTTGTAGTCTGCAAGGGTTCTTCCATCCTCCAATTGCTTCCCAGCAAAAATCAGCCTCTGCTGATCTGGTGGAATCCCTTCCTTGTCCTGACAATTCAGTACCCACAACAAAAAAGAATGGAGCTTTTCAGCTTGCGCAACACAAACTAAACAATCCAAAAGCAGAAAAACAAACAATGAAAGCGCCAAACAGCTCGTTAACCCAGGCAGAGACCAGGCAAAAAAAAAAAAACTATTCACGGCCAGGAAAGCCAAACCCTAACTTTCCAATCAATTAACAAAGCAAAGGCGCAAGCTTTCATCAAGTTCAATCAGAGAAGACACAATATCTACCAGAGATTCGACAACAATTCGAGATAAGAAACAAAACCCACGAAGCAATCGCCGGAGAAGGGCGGAATAACGAAGAACAGACAGCGTAATCAGTAAAAAAAAACTACGGGGAGACCTGAATCTTAGCCTTGACATTGTCGATGGTGTCGCTGCTCTCGACTTCGAGAGTGATGGTCTTGCCGGTCAAGGTCTTGACGAAGATCTGCATCTTCTCTCTTCTCCTTCTCCTTCTCCTTCTCCTTGCTACGGGTTGTTTCGAGGAAGCAGAGAGAGCTTCGATCACTGGTTGGGGAATTTCGATTTTGTGTGAGTGGAACGAAATATATATATAGAAAGACAGTGAGACGCGAAAGGCAGCGAGACGGCGAGGAGCTGAGTGAGGGAGGCGGTGGGATTTTTGTTCCGCTACGTCGCGTAACACTTAAGAGAATCTTTGTTTATGAATTTCTATTTTTTTTTTGTTAGTGTTTATGAATAATTTAGGGATGAGGTAGGGTGTGCAAACTCTTTGGTCTCAAATCCAAACCCAAGAGAATCGCGGTTTAATAGTAAGAAATTTTCATCGATCAAGGATGGGTTATATCAGTGTATTTGATCTGGTCCAAATATCATTTCGTGAAACCAATAATCAGAGCATAGTATACTCGTTTGATGCGGTCCAGTCCAAGTATCGATTTTGGTCCGGTACGATCCTGTACGGACTAAACCGTTGCACACCCCTAAAATTCCCGGTCTAAAATGAAGAAAAAAGAAGAGCTAGCCGCAAAGACTTAACCATGAAGAGATGCGGATGAGTTAGCTCCAGGGGCGTAGCTAGAGCACACTAAGGGAGTTCCATAGCACCTCCTTAGATTTGAAAATGTCAAAATATTAGTAGTATTAGAAAGTGAATAATGATATTTAAATGCTAAATTTCAATGTCGATTGTCAAATCTAGTGAACTAATATTGCAAATAGTTATTTGGTGGGATATATTATGTGTGAAATCTTGATAGTTTGGATGATTCATATAGTTATACAATAATTTCACAATACGAAATATGAGACTGCATATATAATTTTTTTACGGCACCCCCTTAAATAAAATTCTGGTTATGCCACTGATTAGCTCTGACGCCTAGCCCACCTGACACGGTTGTACGAGATCACAATTCACCCAACACGATCATCCGGGGTGAACAAGAATTGGGGATCGGATGCGGGCGAAATTCCCGCCAATGGCTGAATTCCTAAGGATGCATCAACTTTAATCTTCACAAATCCTCTTCTTGACTGTGGTGACTGGTGACCAAGAAGCACTCCTATTATTAATTTGTGTATAAATCGTGTGCATAGATTTGTCCATATTTGAAATTTAGTTTTTGTAAATAGATGCATTTAATTAATTTATGTATTTTAATTAGATGTGTGTTTTAATATATGAATTTTTAAAAAATTATATTGTTTGGAATTTGAATAATTTTGGTGATCTCTTAAAAAACAAGAAAGGAAAAAAATGAATTTCCAATCCCTCAAAACAAACCCAACTTTTAGCTGAAATTGACAATCATCCATAATTAATAATTTTAATAGTCTCATCCACTACTCAAATACAAATATTGTGTTTTATTTTAAACCAAAAAACGATAAATTCTCATCATCACATGTACTATAATGCCTAATGGATAATTATCATGTTGTGGAGTATTCTGATGAAATTAGTAATGCAATATGTTACTGCAATATCTTACTTGTTTTTAAGTTTCATATAGTGTGATATATGTAATATTCGTTGTATTATATCATTGAAGAAAACATTTTGTTCTCCTGTAATAGATTGTATTTTCATTCATCCGATTCAAATCGTGACTAAAAAAGAATGTAGGATCTTGAAATTTATGAATGGGTTTAGGTTTATCATCATTCAACCCAGCGGGGGATTCACCATAGGGTAGAGCACTGAGCCACATTTGAAAAAAAGCGAAGAGGGCCACGTTTTTTGGCTCCTTCCTAGTCGGGAAGTTTGGGCCATAACCCGAGAATCACTAAAACTAACACCTAAAATCGAATTTTCACAAGTGTCTATACTAGCTCTGGATCCAGAAGAGGGCTTGGCCGTGGCCCGAATGTGGCCCCTTGGATCCGCCGCTGATTCAACTCGAGACTCATGAGTTGGGTGGTTAAACGATGAAAACCAACCTAATCGAACCATGTACACCCCAGTTTTGGCCAGTAATTTGGGTCGGGTCGCTATTTCATTTGTACCGTACGTAGCATACCGAGAGAGGAACTGAAATAAACTCCACCGACCAGGCGACCACCGCCATTTTCTCAATGCGAAACCCTCTCCGACGATTGGAAATCCTCGCCGTTCTGATTGGGGGGAAGAGTAGCTGGAGTAGAATCCGCCGTCGCCGAACGAATCTTCACCTGTGGATATTGGCGGAATAGTCAACTCCGGCGGCGGTGAAAAGTAAGCCTGGACGGTGTGGCGAAACCGAGAATGTGCAAGCTTGATTGCTTGCTCTGTGTTTGGTGATTGTTGTTTAAGGTGTAATAGTTTCGAGTGGAGGTGAGAAGCAGGAGAGGCCTCAACGATCCATACTGTGGCGTCAGCTACGTCCCCGCCACCAGTCTCATTGTCGTCGTCACCTCCGTGTCTAGTTGGAGGACCCATCACCTCCATGACGAAGTAGGAGTGAAGGAATTGTCAGAATTGCTTGCTGGGTTGCGTTGTTTCTGAGAGAATCCGCTTTGCTTAAGGTGGGGGTTCTCATTTCAGTCATTTGGTCTTCAGGGATTGCCGAATGCTTTCAGGGTAGAGAGCTTTGATAAGGAATTGATTTGTAAACAAGTTAAGAAAAGACATCAATCATTTAACAGATCAGTTCAAAGTATCTCTTCTGTGGCAGCAAAATCTGGATTGCTTGTTTCTCTGTTTGATTGCCGCTGCCCAACTAGTGAGCTAGGGGATAAGGAATGTTTATTAATTTTGTTTGCTGTACCAAGTGAGTTTGGACTTTGGAGTATACGGATACGCTGGAGACAGGAGGAGATAGGACTTATGGAGCATAGAAGGTAGGAAATTTTAGTGCTTAGGTGCCAAGAAGAAGATGATAGGTTGAAACGGCAGATTCCTGCTTTGCCGTTCTCTGTCTTTCTGTTCTGTCGTAGTTAGTTGATACTATGTTTAGATGCTAGATGTTTTCATTTACTAGTTGGTCAGTTTACTAGTTTAGTTAACTTGCCTTCTCATGTGTTGCTTTTTCCCGGCTCTTGATTCGTTTTGGTGGAAATATAGGAATCTGATTAGCTTAGTTGTTTAGTCATATTTGAGCATGCTCAACTGTTTAGTGCTGCTTGCTTTTCCTATGCACATCATCATCTTACCTAACAGTAGGAGATGCATCATCTAATCTAAATGCTCCCTAGGAAGGGGCATTAGTATACTTTAAAGTGCTAAATTAGTATAATATATTATAAGGATGCCAGCTATATTCTTTGAGTCTTTTGTAGGGATGACTGCTGAAGGTGGGGAAGAATCACGGCACAACCGGACACGCAGAGAGTTGGTATGTCATGCCGGTGCTGGTGCTGCCGCAGGTTAGATTTAATCACGCTTTGCCTTGATTGGAATTCGGTTTCTTGTTTCGCTTAAGTTTCCAAGTTCTTGGAAGCTGAGCAGTCTGGAAAATTTACTTGTTTATGATGACTAGTTCTTTGAGAGTATTTGTTTAGTTGATTGGCTGCTTCTAATGGGAAGGTAAGTATTTGAAAAAGCTATCTTCAACTTTGCAGGTGCTATTGCGGCCACGTTTATGTGCCCATTGGATGTGATCAAGACAAGGTTGCAGGTCCATGGGCTGCCTGTATCAGCACATTCTAGTCGCCGAGGTGATATATAGTGATGGCTGTTTGAACAAAAATAAAGACATAGAACAGCCTAGCACTTTGTATCCTTTCCTTTTTCTTTATGGTGACACTTTTTGTCCTTTCTGGTGGTACCATACGGGCTATCTGTTTGGACAAAGGGATATTATTCTTAACTTATAGTTCTGGCTGGACAAGTCTCTGAAATCAAATAAATTGCACTCTTTACAGTCCTTGGTGTCCTGATCCAACTGTTGACTGATTATATCTGCCTTATATAATGGTGTATGATCAACATCTTTGAACTTGCTTTGATTTCTTTAATTTTCTTTTTTTTAAATAGTTGGGCGCTGGCTACAACTTTCGAATTTTGGCTGAGTTGGATATTTTTATCCATGATTACCATTTAGCACCTCTTATTTGGCATATTGATGGTTATTCTTAATGCTCTTCATCATCATTCATCCTTAGGTAGTGCTATTGTCACAATCTTACAGAGCATAGTCAAGACTGAAGGTTTTCGGGGGATATATCGTGGACTCTCCCCTACTATATTGGCGATACTTCCTAATTGGGCTGTGAGTATTGTTCCTTTTTTAATATTTGCTGGGTATACCTTTCTTGTTGCTTAGTCTAAGAAATATAACCTAATAAATAAAGTTGAACGCTCCTGGGGCATCTTGTCCCTTTTCTTTGCCTTCAGTTGATCTATATTGAGGAGAAAGGATATTTAGTCGACGGATTATGATGTAGTGGGATTCAAATTTGACTCTATGATTCACTAAGCTGTTTCACTACGGGGCTGTTCGTGTAAATATCTTTACTAGCTGGTACTGGTACTTATTGAAATCTAAGTGAACTATGATCGTATGGGATTCACTTTTGACTCTGTTGGCTTTTGCTAGAGAAACCATAAAGAATATGTTGCTAAAGCTGGTTCATATCCTGATTTCTTCAAACATACATTAATGTCTTTTGTTGACACACTTGGTGGTAGCTGTTACAGGGTATGTACAGATATGCAATTTAAGCTTTCTTTTAGTCATGGTTGCTGTTTGTTTTGTAGGTGTATTTCACAGTGTATGAAAAATTGAAAGGCTTGCTTCTTACAAATGGTTGGTTTCGGTGCCTCTTTGATTGAGTCTTTTATCTTTCTAATCAAACCATTTTATGGTCTTGAGTCTTGACATTTCCTGAATCCTGATTACTCTGGCTTTCTCTTTTGATTTTGTTCTTATGGCAGGGGATGAAAGTGGCCAATTAACGGTTGGTCGAAACATGATTGCTGCTGCTGGGGCTGGTGCTGCCACATCCATCGCAACGAATCCATTGTGGGTTGTCAAAACTAGGCTCCAAGTAAGTTTTGGCATGGTTATGCATCTTTCTAGCTTTTAATAGCTGAAGCAGACTCTGTTATTGGCGTTTATTCCAACTTTCATTTATGAGCAACATCTTCCACTGAGAAATATTTGCAGTCAAGTTTATCTGCACATTTAGAATGTCATTATCACTATATGCTGACAAGTTCACGTTGCTTTATTCTTCTTGTCTTGAAATAATCTCTTCCAAGTCACAATTTTTTTTGAGGGTAACTCTTGCAGTGCCAATCTAGCATAGAGTTTGAACATTGAGAACAAGTTTGCTGCCAATGTCAGAAGCAGAACCGTATCTTCAGTTGATCTTATTCCTTTTCCCATTCCCTGTGTCCTCAATATGAACCCCTTTGGCTAGAGATGCTCAAGTACCTAATAGTCCAGGCTTTCTTCCAAGTTGCTGGGAAATGAAAGCAAAGTGATAGTGGAAGCATGCTGATAGTCAAACTTTTGCATTGTGCTTAAGCTAAAGATCCAAGTCCTGCAATGTTTTGAACATCTTCAACTTGTGCAGTCGTGACGTTGGGGATTTCATGTTCTTAATTGATTTGCCTCAATGGCTAACATAAAAAGCAAAAGGCTTAATATATGACACTTGATAACATGATGCTGCCCCGTAAGATTACTTCAATTGGAGGGCTTAAGCTAAAGATGAAAGCCTTGCCAATTTTGTGGATTATTGAGAACATCTTCAATTAATAGTGTGGATTTCATGTGTGCCATTTTAGTCCTCTGCCTTGCTTGGACTCTACTTCAACTTGAAATGACAATTGTTTGTGTTATCTTTGCAGACACAGGGAATGAGGCCTGGTGTTGTTCCATACACGAGCATATTTTCGGCTTTAAGGAGAATAACTTGCGAGGAAGGTCTGCGAGGGCTGTATAGGTTAGTTTGCTGAAACCAATTAGGAACATGTCATGCGGTGATGCTAATTTTTTCTTCGCTTGAAACAGTGGTATTCTGCCCTCTTTGGCTGGGATAAGTCACGTTGCAATCCAGTTTCCTGCATATGAAAAGATCAAGTCGTATATGGCAACAAGGGGTATTTAATGTTTCCTGGTTTTTGCTCAATACTTGCACTTGAATTTTGTCTCCTCCAAGAACATTATGGCTTTGACTGTACCACTGATACTGCTTACTTATATGTTTGCAGATAATACAACTGTTGACAAGCTAGGCCCTGGGAAAGTAGCAATTGCCTCCTCGATAGCCAAAGTTGTAGCTTCTGTAACAACTTACCCCCATGAGGTATGTACTAGTATGGATTCGAATTAGTCTCAACCGATATACAAAATGGTAAAATAGTAACCATGAACAAATAAAATACCACAGGTAATCCGTTCACGGCTTCAAGAGCAAGGGCAGGTCCGAGGTTCCGAGGCTAGGTATGCCGGCGTAGTTGATTGTGTCAGGAAGGTGTTCCTCAAGGAAGGCCTTCCAGGGTTCTACCGTGGTTGTGCTACTAATTTAATGAGGACAACGCCGTCAGCTGTCATTACATTTACCAGCTACGAGATGATACATAGGTTGTTGGAGCGCCTTATACTCCCTGACAAGGGGGCATTCAAAGCCTCAACATGAACAAAGGGAAGGGTCGAATAGACGATGACTAAAAGGTGGTGTTGAACCAGGCGCAAGGAAACCCACAAAAAGAGCTTCCTCCATACATCTGTGATGTAAATGAAGAGTGAAAATGGCATTGCAAGTTCTTATGTGTTTTGCCTCCTCGACCGTAGAAAGCCGGGTTGTGGGCTAAATAAGTTGCTCCTAAATTGTCGCACCAAAGGATTGGAGCAGAAGGCAGAGGATGACCTAGTTCTGAGAGGAGAGCTTGAATCCATATTACTGTCGGGGCCAACGTTGCTAGTGCCTGATACTCACATTTTGTTGACGATCGAGCGACTGGCTTTTTGCTTTCCGGTAGACCAAGATATGGACTTGCGGTCGCGAGCAAAAGAGGCGCGTCGGAGTATCCATGTATTTGAGGGTGAGAAGAGTGCTGAAAAAACCATCCCTTTGTTTAGAGTGCCCCACATTATCCGTTTTACTGCCGATCTGTGAGCCTCAGTGGGTGTATGCTGATATAGTGAAACATGATTGACGACAAAGGAGAGGTTTGGTCGTGTGAAACATAAGTATTGTAACCCACCAACGATACTACGGTACAGACCAGGATCAAAGAAGGCTGGAGATGTGTCGGAAGCACTATGAATAATCTGATCAACAATACATGGAGCAGAAATTTCCTTTTAGCTTACGACATGTATTTCTTCCGACTGAGAATCAAACCAGTGGAGTTGCGCTTGCGGTGAACTTTATGTCCCAGAATATATGTAATGTACCAAGATCAGAAGTTTTGGGATCGGAGGAAGGTGGGCTTGGAAGAGGGCGAGTTTTGGGATCGGAGGGAGGTCGAGAGTTGGGCTGGGAGGATTGCGGGCCTGGTTGGGTTGAGTTGACAACTGATTGTGGGCCGGAGTGGTTGGGCTGAGGCCGGAGGATGGAGCGGGCAAGGGGTGGGCTGGGTAAAGATATTAAATCAAGAGACAAAAATTGAGGGAAAACAAAACTTGAAAAAAATTCTACACTAGGAAGTTGAGTGAGACGGGTCCGGATAGTATAACAACATGATTCATTAAGGGTATAAGGGTAAACTTACAATTAAAAGAAAAATAACAATTAATAAGATCCCTAAATTCAATTCCCCCCGCTCTCTTCTCCTTCTCCGTCGAGCGTTCTCCTCCAATTCCCAAATTCAAACTCTCCTCCGGCGGAGAAACCCTACTAATAGGGATCTCTGGCGCCGCATCTCTTCCTTTGGCTCCTCCGCTCCTCACAATGCCCAGCTTCTCTCCTTCATCTTCCCCTTCTCGATTAAAGCTTCAATCGAAGAACCCCAGTTTCTCCTTCGCCCCCGAAGATCGACTTCCTCGGTCAGACACTTGGTGGTTCAAGGAGGGAAGCGGCAGCACCCGGCTGAGATCTACGGTCCATTCAAAATCTAGTGATTGATTTTGATTCCGGCGATGATGGTGAGTAGTTAGGGTCTGGATTTCATTGGATTAATTAGAACTGTGACCTTGGTAGGAGGATTAGACGAGATGGACCCGGATACGCCGGAGGTGGTGGAAACAGCCGAGGAACCGAAGGGCGGTGGATTTGGCAGCAACATAAAACATTACGAGTCATTCATAAAGCCAACTTGGACACTTTTGATTGGAGTGGGGCCGGGTCGTAGAAGATGTATTGACTACTTGACTCCTGTCAACTAGTCATTATCTTTCCTTGTACGTATTTGTAATGGTTAGTTCCCGTTGCTGGGGGACTTGTCAAAGTAGTTCCCAATGCCACCTCCCAAGGAGAGCATTACTTTGATTCCTCTCTTCTGGCAGTCTCGGATCCCGGTGCTGATCCCCTGGCAGCCGTTGGAAGCCGGATTGCAGTGGCCTGCCAGGTTGAGCTCGGGGGTCTGGCCGTTGCCAAAATTGTTGAGGAAGGCTATGTTGACATAGGCGTACTTTCCGGTGGCACATGTCTCCGAGAGGGTCCCTTCATTGCCGTTCTGGCCCCAGTAGATGGCCACCCCACCAGCGGCGGAGCAGGACTGGATTACTGAGAGCAGAAGGATTGGAAGGAGAACAATGAGCAGTTTGGGCTGGGAATTCTTCACCATTGTTGCTCTTCAAGGATAATGAAGGTTTGAACTTTGTTGATGTAGATGACAGAAGGCTGGTGCTTCTTTATATAGAGACCTGTAGAGTGCAGGCCAATAGCCTGGTGGGTGTGATCAGACGGTCTGATTCCGCTGACTTCACCACCTCAGATAACTAAAATATACAAAACCATAACTCTCCTAAAACAAACCAAAAACACCACAAAACACACCAGAAACTTCATAAAACAAACTACAAACAGGGTAAAACAAACCATAAAAAAGCATATAAAAAACCTCCCAATGCATGCCACAAATTCCCTAAAACAAACAAGAAACACCACAAACCAAACCACAAATATTTTGAAAGCATACCAGAAAACTCATAACGCAAACCATAAACACCGTAAAGCAAACCACAAAAACAAACCAAAAACGTCCTAATGCAGACCAAAAATATATTAAAACAAACCAGAAACCTCACAAAGCAAACCACAGAATTTTCAAAAACACACTAGAAACCTCATAATGCAAACCACAAACACGTTAAAGCAAACCACAAAAACAAACCAGAAACCTCCTAATGCATACCACAAATCTCCTAAAACAAACCACAAACCCCTCAATGCAAACCACAAAGTTTTTGAAAACAAACCAGAAACTTCTCAATGCAAACCATAAACACGATAAAGCAAACCAGAAACTTCTTAATGCAAACCACAAACACGATAAACCAAACCACAAAAGGCATACAAAAATATGAGAAACCAAACCATAAATCTCACAATGCAGACCATAACATCCGGTGGTCATTGGCCGTTGACCGGTCAGCGAAGACCGTTGACCGGTCAACGAAAATCGTTGACCAAACTCCGATGATTGTCAGTTACCAGATTCCGGCGCCGATAGGCATATTCCGGCCCCGATGACTAGATTCCGATGCCGGTAAGCATATTCCGACCCCGGTAAGCATATTCCGGCGACGATGAGCATATTCCGATGACGAAAAGCATATTCCGGTGACCGGCGACTATTTTCCGGCGACCGGTGACAGAATTCCGGCGAGCAAATTTTTGGGCCGAAAAAATATTTTTTTTTTAATTATTTAAACATATTTTTCATAATGACAATTATACCCCTGCTTTGATTTTACACTAGGTCAACTCATCTAATAAAAAGTCATCACAACCCTAGCTTCCTATTGGTTAGAGACTGGTGTTGTTACCATAACAACACAAGGAGTGTTGTTATAGTAACCGGTCCCGAGTGAGACTTATATTCTATAATTTTTTCTTCATTATATAATTTTAAAAATAAAATAAATTATAAATTCATATTATTTAATATAAAAGAAATCTAACAAGATCCATTTTGACTACTTTTTATTGTTTAGAATTTTTATTCATATTTTATATTATAAGTCCTTTATAGTCATTTTACACAACCTCTTATATTAAAAAACACTTTTAATAGTTTTACAGCCAAACACTCAACTGCTTTTTTTTAAAAGTACTTATCTAAAAGTTTGAGTCAGAAGCTGTTTCTGCAAAAGCTACAACAGGGCCAAACTAAACTATTGAATGAAATAAATCCCGCTAATTTTGCCACGACTACGAGACAGATGATTCAAAGATCGACATAGCTGGAAAATAAGAAGAAGAAAACAAAGACAAGAAAGAATCAGTTTGAGAAAGACTAAGAAGGAAGAAAGGGTAAGGAAAATTTATATGTGGTACTCGTTTAGAGTTTTGATTGCTCTAATACCATGATAAGTAAAAGGAAATCCCATAGTCTTCCTATTCAGAATGGGATACTCATACATAAAGAGTGGATACACTTATACACGAGTTGTGTACAACAGCAGCTATTCAGAAGGAAGTACAAACAAAACCGAATGCTAGAGAGAGTCAAGCAACGGTTAAAACAGAGTCTTGTTTGTGGGGAAAAGAGTGGTGCCGGAAACAGGGGAGAAGGATTTCTCTGCTATCCTTTAGAAGGCGGAAAACCTGCCCTTCCACTAATAGGTAAGGACAATACCCCCTACAATTATGAATACCAATATTAAAAATAATATAGCAAAAATAATAAGGAGCAAACTCAGGTTTCCATCAACCCCGGCGCCGTAGATGTTGATGTTGTTGGTGAATGGAACTCCAACGGCGGAGGCCTCGGGGGGAGGAGGGACTTGCATGTTGTTGACGATGTTGTTGGTGATTGGAACTCCAACGGTGGAGGCCTCGGGGAGAGGAGGGGCTTGCCTTAACAGTGGCAATGCTTTGGCCACACCTGAGAGCATTTAAACTGAATGTTTAGACATTGACTTGAAAGCATGGTTCATGAAACCGTATCGGACATTTGACTTGAAAGCATGCGCCGGGATTGATGAAACGAAGAAAAAGACTCTGCTTATGATATGCAATTGAAGACAGACAAAAACGTACCCTGAGGGATGCCACTTTCCATTTGAAGTGGTACATGGATGTTCTCTTCTGAATTCTCCACCGTCCTATTGATCCAAACACAATAAAATCATTCACAACATCAAGGTCGGAGAAGGCTAATGAAGCATGAGCCAACCCACAGCTTTCTGTTTACCCTAAAAATCAACTTTGTACCACATTGAATAATTATGAGCGATTTAATGGATTTATAAGTCCAGCTCAGTATTAAAATATTAAATGACTTAGGTGGGCCTTAATGGATGGATTCTTTCCCATTGAAGTGCAAAGAAGGAATCAAGACATGAAGTGAAGGTGGAAAGGAAGCTGTGAAATTGGCTAAGTATGGGAATCGACTCGAGTTAGCAACTTCCGAGGCTTATTAGAGAAAGCTTGGGAGCTTGTCGATAGAAGCTGGAAGCTTTGAATGAAAGAGCAAGTCTTTTTAAACAATGTCAAGGAGTTAGATGACTGATTTGAAGCTTCCAAGACAACGAACGAGTGAGCCAAAGTTGCTATGGAGGCTGTTTTTGTTACTTGTGCAGGAAGTAATTTCTTAGGCAACAAGCAAACCTAATTTGTGTCCTTATTTCAGAGGGTTTCTTACCTTATTTGTATCTTTGATAAGAGTATAATTCCTTGTTAGTTATAGTCGTAGTTTGGTTTATTATTTAAAGCATAAGATGCATTGTAATAGTTATAGTCTAGATATCAAGTTGGCAAAACAGGCTTGGTATGGTAGCCAAGGAGAGAGAGAGAGAGAGAGAGAGAGAGACTAAATATACCTGTTTACATTCATGGCCGTAGTTGCAATCCCCTGACCAAGTAATCCGCACCCAATTGCAGCTGAACTATACCAAAAACCCTGAACACAACAATATGCACTTGTATAAGAAGAAGAATCAAGTCCAAACTTCTTTCCTAATATCAAGTTAATGTCGTGGATAAGGCAAAGATTCAAAGAATGTATAGCCCACACAAATGTAGCAGGATTCGATCATTCAATACCTTATAGAAGGAAGTAGCCACTCGCCGCATCAAAGAGGATCTACGTCCCGGCCTTTCAGCCTCAACAACACTGCAGTGAAGTAAAAACATATAGTTAGCAAACCAAGACTTCAGCAGGGAAGTGTTAGAAATCAAAAAGCAACAAACAGCAGAGTGGAGTAGTAACTTGATGGTGGTGCTGGGAAGAGCAGCAGCACCATCTTCCTCTGTATTGCGGCCTAAGCCAGCTGCTGTGGACACCGAAGGCTTCCCCGTCGGAGCATAAGAGGCTAGCATACCAACTAGAGCAGCATTAACTGCCATGCCAACCAAAGCTTTGTGCAGCTCAAGCTTCGACCACAACTCTTTCCCCCTTTGAAATTCAGCAAATGCTGCTCTGCATGAACCAATCACTACCTGCAAAGCATTTCCGCCCAAAAAGGTTAGGAAAAGAAAAGAAAAAAGCTCACAACGAGAGTTGTGTAAGCATGTTATTGGACCTATTTGTACACTACTGTTATTTTGTGTTGGTTCTTGTTATTTTTCCCTATACCCATGCTACGTGTGGAAGGGTATTTAAGGGTTGTGTGGCCGAACTCTAACCCTAAGGTTGAGCGGCAGTAGCTTTGTTCTCTTCTTTGTGAGCTCATAGTGAAAACTCTCTGAGAGCTATGCTCTCCGTGGACTAGTCCCGATCTTCGGGGAAACCACGTAAATCATCGTGTCACTTTTACTTTCCGCAAGCGTTCAGTTTATTTACATGGTATCAGAGCGGTGACGATTCAGCCGTTCTTTGTTCTTTTTCGGCATGGTTAACAAGGACGAGGAGACTAGCGCCGGCAAATCCATCGCTCCCCTGGACGATGGTGTCATCCCGATCAGCTCTCCCCTCTACCTACATCCATCCGAGAATCCTGCCCAGTTGTTTGGCAGCGATTTATTGACAGATTCCAATTATGGTGAATGGGTGAACGACATCACCGAAACCCTGATTGCGAAAAATAAGCTTGTCTTCGTTGATGGATCTTTCCCTCGCACCATGGCCGAATCAGCGACCCATCGTGCTGCATGGGATAGGTGCGACGCCACCGTCAAAGGCTGGTTGAAGACGGCAATGTCGAGGGAGGTTCGGAACAGCGTTCGCACGGCCACGACGGCCTGTGCGATTTGGACGGATCTTCAGCGCAGGTTCAGCAAAGGGACTGCGCAGCGGGCGTACGAGCTGCGTCGCTCGCTCAGTACTTTTCGGCAGGAGAAGTTGTCTGTCTCCGCATATTACACGAAGCTGCGTTCGACTTGGGACGAGATGCAGTCCATAGGGGGAGCTCCTAAATGCACGTGTGCAGGTTGTACGTGCGGAGGTTGCACCTGCGACTGGGTCCGAGCTTACTCCACGCAGCGGGATACGGAACAGCTCTTCGAGTTCTTGATGGGGCTTGATGACGCTTACTCCGTCATTCGCTCACAAATTCTTGGGACTAGGCCGACCCCATCATTGGCAGATGCTTATCAGATGGTTTCGGCTGAGGAGCAACATCGAAACATCACTCATAGCCGCCGTCCGCCTGTCGATACTGCTGCTTTCCAGACGCAGGCGGAGAAAGAGCAACCACGTGATGATCGCGATCGTGAACGGGTTCGGTGCTCCAATTGTAACCGGCTGGGCCATACTAAAGAGACGTGTTACCGTCTCGTGGGTTACCCGCCTGGTCATCCGAGAGCCAAGCAAAACGAGGAACGCCCTGGCTCCTCCACTCGGCGCTCCAAAGCAGCCCATGTGGAACCCGACTCGTCGTCTCCTTTTCCTGGTCTGACGGCAGCGCAGTTTGCTCAGCTCAAGGAGTTCCTGTCGTCCTCTTCTACCGAGAACACTTCCGCAGCTACGGCTCATATGGCTGGTAAAGTTTCTGACCTTGATATGTGGTTATTAGACTCGGGCTGCAATGAGCATATAGTTCGTGATCGTAGTTGGATGCATTCTGTAGAAAGTGTTTTGGATCAGTCACAGGTTCGAATACCAGATGGGTCGGGCATTCCTGTTCAGGGCATGGGGTCTGTTCAATTCACCAGTTCTATTCGGCTTAACAGGGTCTTGCATGTGCCTGCTTTTCAATGCAATCTTCTCTCGGTTAGTAGACTGGTTCAGGATCATAATGTCACGGTGACGTTCTTGCATGACTTTTGCATACTTCAGGTCTTACCTTCCAAGACGCTGATTGGAGTGGGTAAGCTCAAGGATGGCCTATATTACTTGCCCAGATTTGGAGGTTCGCCGCACCAGCAAGCCTGCACGGTCATGCGTCCTGCTGCTTCTCCGAGTCTCTGGCATTCTCGCCTCGGCCACCCCTCTTTTGATAGGATTGCTAGTTTGAAAGATTTTTTGGATTGCACTGTGTCTCATCGGGATTCTTTGCCTTGTGATTCTTGTTTACGGGCTAAACAGACACGGATTCCTTTCAGTCCTAGCACCATTAAAACCAGTGGATGTTTTGATTTGCTCCATATGGATATTTGGGGGGCGTATAGAACGCCAGCCCTGGATGGATCTCGTTATTTTTTGACTATTGTGGATGACTACAGCCGCTCCACGTGGGTCTATTTGATGAAATTTAAATCTGATGTTGAGCGATATGTCCGATTACATTGTGAGCTTGCTCGCACGCAGTATGGCAGGTCTGTTCGTCGTATTCAGGCTGACAACGGCCCTGAATTTCAGACCCACTCATTACGTGCTTATTACGAGGATAACGGGATGATACTTCAGACTTCTTGTACGGACACTCCCCAGCAAAATGGTGTCGTGGAACGAAAACACCGTCATTTGCTGGAAACTGCCCGAGCTCTCATGTTTCATGCTGGTTTACCCGTGCGGTTTTGGGGTGAGTGTGTTCTCACTGCTACTTATTTGATTAACCGGTTACCTTCTCCTGTTCTCTCTGGGAAAACTCCGTTTGAAGTTCTTTTGGGGCGTTCACCTACTTACTCACACCTCCGTAACTTCGGCTGCCTTGTGTACACTAAGGATACACACCATGGCCTCGACAAGTTTGCTGAGAGGGGGAGACCCGGTGTTTTTATTGGCTATCCTGGTACTCAGAAAGGCTACCGAGTGTATGATCTTCGTACTCGAAGGATCCTGGTATCTCGTGATGTGCATTTTGTTGAAACATTATTTCCATTTGCACTCAAGGAAAAGGGTCACTCCATACCTCCAATGCCTCACGTGGACATGCATGACTCACGTCCCATGCATAGTGAAGTTGAGGATGGCCCTGGTATTATTCCCCTCGCAGATGAGGATCCCTCTGATACCGTGGGTTTGGACACTTCAGCCGAGAGCGACGACAACTCAGCTGCCCACCCAGGTTCACTCCATGATCCCTCTTCATCGCCTCTTGCGACTTCCAGCTTGGACCCACCTCATGGAGATTCACCCAGCTCGCCATGCACTTCTCCTCCACGTACCCAGCCGTTGAGTGACGATGCATCTGCGACTTTGGATTCATCCTCCGCAGGTGAGAATGTTCAGCCCCCACATGGTCCACGTCGCAATCCTCCTCGCGACCGTCGGCCGCCCGTTGGCCTCCGTGATTATGAGGTGACTCTTCCTGACACTAGCTCCAATTCCGTTCGATTTCCTTTATCTCATTACGTGCACTACCATCGCTTCTCTACTAATCACTCTGCTTTCCTTGCTGCTTTGGATGATTTATGTGAGCCACGGACTTATGCACAAGCCGTCCGTTATGCACACTGGAGAGCAGCAATGGTGCGCGAGATTGAAGCACTGGAGGCACAAGGGACATGGACCCTCGAGCTGCTACCTCCCGGCAAGCGGGCCATCGATTCCAAGTGGGTTTTCAAAATTAAGTTCCTGCCTGATGGTACCATTGATCGCTATAAAGCACGCCTTGTAGCGAAAGGTTTTACTCAGCTGGAAGGGATTGATTTCCATGATACGTTTGCTCCCGTTGCGAAGCTAGTCACCGTTCGAGTTCTCTTGGCAGTTGCTGCTAAGAAGGGATGGCCTCTCCACCAACTCGACGTGAATAACGCTTTCCTCCACGGAGATCTTGACGAAGAGGTTTATATGAAGGTCCCGCAGGGGTTTGCTAAACCCGGTGACCAGCGGGTTTGTCGTCTACGCAAATCACTTTATGGTCTTCGCCAGGCGTCCCGAAACTGGTATATGAAGTTCACCGAGGCTCTCCTATCCTTCGGGTTCACTGTCTCGCGCGCGGATCCTTCTCTCCTTTTATATCAGGCTGCCGGTGTGTTCATTGCCATTCTCATTTATGTTGATGACGTCGTCATAACTGGTAATGATTTAGACACCATTCAGCGTATCAAGACCTTCCTCCATCAGCGCTTCAGCATCAAAGACCTGGGTCCGTTGAAATATTTCCTTGGCATTGAAGTTGCTCGTTCTCCGGAGGGTATTGTGCTTAGCCAGCGTAAGTACACACTTGACATCTTGGCCGACTCGGGTATGACTGCAGCCCGACCCAGTGGTTTCCCGATGGAGCAGAATCATACTCTTACTCGGCCGACTGATGATCGGATTGATGATGTGAGTACCTATCGTCGTCTCATTGGGCGTCTGCTTTATCTCACGATCACTCGGCCGGACATCGCCTACTCAGTTAATCTTCTCAGTCAGTTTGTTCACTCCCCTAGTCCAGATCATATGGCTGCAGCGCATCGGGTACTTCGTTATCTTAAGGCAGCTCCTGGTCAAGGCCTATTTTTGCCATCCAGCGGCAGTATGGATCTCACAGCCTATAGTGATGCTGATTGGGGCGGCTGCCAGTTCAGTCGTCGCTCTACCACAGGTTATTACGTTCATCTCGGTGGTGCTCCTATCTCCTGGCGGGCCAAAAAGCAGCGTGTCGTTGCTAGATCATCCGCGGAGGCTGAGTATCGAGCCATGGCTAGTGCTACTAGTGAGGTACTTTGGCTTCGCCTTCTTCTTCGTGAATTGCAGATCCCGCAGACTGTTCCTACGCCTCTGCATTGTGACAATCAAGCAGCCTTGCACATTGCAGCCAATCCGGTTTTCCACGAGCGGACTAAGCATGTCGAGATGGACTGCTACTTTGTTCGCGAGCGTGTTAGTTCTGGCGAGATATCACCGAGGAAGGTTGGTACCCACGATCAGCTGGCCGATATTTTTACTAAAGCTTTAGGCACTGATCAGTTTCATCATCTTCTATCCAAGCTTGGCGTTCGTGACCTTCACGCTCCAGCTTGAGGGGGAGTATTGGACCTATTTGTACACTACTGTTATTTTGTGTTGGTTCTTGTTATTTTTCCCTATACCCATGCTACGTGTGGAAGGGTATTTAAGGGTTGTGTGGCCGAACTCTAACCCTAAGGTTGAGCGGCAGTAGCTTTGTTCTCTTCTTTGTGAGCTCATAGTGAAAACTCTCTGAGAGCTATGCTCTCCGTGGACTAGTCCCGATCTTCGGGGAAACCACGTAAATCATCGTGTCACTTTTACTTTCCGCAAGCGTTCAGTTTATTTACATATTCATTCCAAAAGATCAGCAATGACACAAACCATAGTTCCCAATTTGAAGAGGTAGGCCATCATCTGATTGAGGAGAAATTGTGGTCGGATTACGGCGGGTTCGAGCATATGAGCTGGAAGTACGGCGCCCCCCACCTCCTCCGCCACTACAGTCACACCCTCGAGTTCCATTATACGCGAGATCTCCTCCTCCTCCTCCGCGGCGGCGGCGGCGTCATCTCCGCCGCCACCACGGCCGCCGCCGCAAAACCCTCCATTTCCTCCGGAACCATCACCGGCGCCGCCCCCGCCGCCCAATTGTGGGCGACCCTGGACGAGTATGAAGGGTTCCTTGATCGGCTCAGCCGGGGACCTGCAGATGCGGGAGGAGGAAGCTGATTGCTGGATTCTTGGCCCGCGTCGAGGGAAGGAAACGAAGTGGGTTTTGGCGCGGCCGAGGAGAAATGATGCCATTGGCGTAGAAAAGCCGCCCTAGAGACTCCCCGTGAAAGATTGTCGAAGAAAACGAAGAAGAGCAGTGGCACGTCTTTGTGGAGGAAGAATTACCAGGCTTGGTATGGACAATGGCAGGTGAAGGAACTATTTCCAGCAGGAGGCAGGAGGCAGCAGCAGCAGCAGCTTGTCTGAAGCAATACGCTGCCGTATTGCCATCCTGTCTAGGTGGCCAGTGAAGCCAATTCTTTTGATTGGCCCACCTGGCTGTCTAGGTGGCTTTTTCCTTTTTTTTTTTTTTTTTTTTTTGTTTTCTTCTTCAAAGTCCAGTACATACCTGTCAATCGACTTCTGACCAAAGGATCTTCGATTCCGTTTTGTAATCTTCCTCCTGGTCCTGGGAAAAGAAAGACGGAACGCGGAAACAAACCCCGGTTTCTTCCTCTCCCTCCTCCTTCATCGGGAATTTCTCAAAGCAAGCTCCGACGATACTGGAGGTCGGAGGCCTAATTCCAGGCTGCATTAGCTGTGGCGGTGTCTGCGGCTAGTCTGGAAACCACACCAGTCACTCATCTCACGCCGAGGAAGCAGTCGGCGGAGTGAAGAAGCCGTACAGATTCAGGCCCGGGAACCTTTCTTTCTCCTCCGTGAGATTCGCAAGCACCGGGTGGGCGGCGCTGCAGGATTACTTAGGAGTCTTCGGTGGCGCCGGCCGATGCTATCCAAAAACACGATTCCAAAGGCGACGCGAAGCAACAGAAACAGAAGAAGAAGAAGAAGAAGAAGAAGAACGCAGATCGAAGAAGAAGAATGAGATCCGGAAAATCCTCCAACCTAGAATCCCCGGATCGGAAGAAGAAGGACGCACAAACCCAGATCCAAGAAGGAATCAAATCGGGGAAATCCTCGTATCTCGGATCGGCCGCCAGAGCAGGTTTGGATCTCGAACTGCTTTCGCTGAGAAATTCCTTACGCCGAAGTAGGAAAAAAAAAAAAAAAAAAAAATCGGATCAAGGTCCCCGAGCTAGAAAGGCGACCATCACCGCTCTGATACAAAAAAAAAAAAAAAAACACCAGAGGGAAGTTTGTTGAAAAGTAGGCAGAAAGCCTTCAATCATTTTCGGTATTTCCTCTATGTTCCTACTTTTATTCCTAAAAAATGGCTCCACAAGGCAACAAACGAATGCTCCCAATAAACTATTTGACAAAGTCTCTACATTGATTCTCTATGCCATTGCCAACTAACCAGGTGCATTTCTTTCTTCAGCAGCAAACTACGTCTTCTTCGCTCTTTCTGCAAATGCTTCTGTGCTGTTCTTCTCCTTCCTTGTTCATCACTGGATCTTTGGATATGTTATTTGACAGTCAGATCTGCAGCAGATTCTCTCGTGTCACTTCCACGTTCATACCAAGGATTGTGAAACCGTACCCTGGAATTATAAAGCTTCTATTTCGGCTTTCATTTATGAGCAACATGTTCCACTGAGAGAAATCTGCAGTTAAGTTTATCTGCACATTTAGAATGTGTCTTCATCACCTGTATGCTGACAAGTTCAAGTTGCTTTATTCTTATTGCCTTCAAATTTTTCTTCGCCTGTATGCTGACAAGTTCAAGTTGCTTTATTCTTCATCACCTGTATGCTAATTTTTCTTCGCTTGAAACAGTGGTATTCTGCCCTCTTTGGCTGGGATAAGTCACGTTGCAATCCAGTTTCCTGCGTATGAAAAGATCAAGTCGTATATGGCAGCAAGGGGTAATTCATGTTTTCATGATTTCTGCTCAATACTTGCACTTGAATTTGTCTCCTACAAGAACATTATGGCTTTTGACTGTACCACTAATCCTACTTTTTTACTTGTTTGCAGATAATACAACTGTCGACAAGCTAGGACCTGTGAAAGTAGCAATTGCCTCCTCGATAGCCAAAGTTGTAGCTTCTGTAACAACTTACCCCCACGAGGTATATACTAGTATGGATTTGGTTTAGTCTCAACCAATATACAAAATGGTAAAATAGTAACAACGAACAAATAAAATACCACAGGTAATCCCTTCAAGGCTTCAAGAGCAAGGGCAGGTCCGAGGTTCCGAGGCTAGGTATGCCGGCGTCGTTGATTGTGTCAGGAAGGTGTTCCTCAAGGAAGGTCTTCCAGGGTTCTACCGTGGTTGTGCTACTAATTTAATGAGGACAACCCCGTCAGCTGTCATTACATTTACCAGCTACGAGATGATACATAGGTTGTTGGAGCGCCTTATACTCCCTGACAAGAGGCATCCGAAGCCTCAACGTGAAAACAACCAAGGAAAGGGTGGAATAGATTAATGGCGAATAGTTGGTCTTGAACCAGGTGCATCAAACGCACAAGAGAGCTTCCTCCATACATCTGTGATGCAAATGAAGAGTGGAAATGGCATCGCAAGTTCTTATGTGTCCCACCCCTCACTGTTGCATAATTTTGATTCCAACAATTGTTGTTATTCATCTGGCAAACTCTCTGTAGTACCATGAAGGTGAGAGTGAATGATCTTCCACTGCTGGAAGTGAGAGGAAGGTGATGGATATGGAGGGTGAAATCTGAAAGTGCCTTGGTGATTGCATTTATCTCTGCAGATTAGCATAAGAAGACTAGTGGATGGAATGGTACTGGTTGTCCACTTGTTTAGTTGAAGTGGATGCACTAGCTGCCGCCATTTTCATCTCAACGTTTCACGGGACAACCGATCATGTTCAGCATTGCAGGTCAAGGGATCTCGCTGCAGCAGCCGTTCGAAATCCAAGGGCAAGAACTGCAGGCAATGCTTTTGTTGTTCTATGATGTTTCATGGTATATGTTGCAAAGATTTTGGCTTGCTTGTGGGTTTAATAGTAGAAATTTTGGAAGGAGATTGTAACACCTTGAGTTTAGGTCTGGATTCATCCCATGAATAGTTTGTTTCAACGATTAATTACAAGAACGAAAATGAAATCGAGATTTACCTAGATTGAAAACCCAGATTCCTCAAACATGTGGCAATGGCATTGATAATCAAATTGTAAGGAAACCACCGCAGTTTGATAAACGAACGTGAACCAAATCTTTTCTCTAAATAATATAAAAGGGTTTCTCCACGAACTCTTGCCGGCAAATTTCTGTTTTTTTTCCCCCTCCTTCCTTTCAATGCAACCGTTTTTGCCTTTTCTTTTTTTTTGCGAGAAATGGAGCGCAAAGGGTTGGTTGTGCCCACCGTACATCAACGAGCAATAAAGCATCGAGTGAGAACCATCAATAAAGTGAAACCCCACCGGTTGGCTGTGCCCAACGTAGGCCAGAAAATCTACAACCGCATTCCCTTCACGATAGACATGGGTGACGATTTGACACTCCAACTCCAGCAGATGTCACGCTGCCATCATCAAGGTGAAATGAGAATGTCCCACTGGTGTCACAAACCTTAGAAAGGACCTTACAACCTCACCACACCACAAAAATAATAAATCACACTACAAATTCATGAAGCAAACCACAAATTCCATATAGCACTACACAAGTAAGCATACCACAATTTTCAAAGTGCACACCTCAAGTTTATTAAAACATACCTCAAGTCCTATAAAGCACACCACAAGGTTCTTAAAGCATACAATAATAATGGACATATTCGTAAACTTTTAAAAGTTCATGTATCAAATTGTAAGAAAAAAAGTTAAGATTTATTAAATTTAGGTACTAAACTGTAATTTGTATATGAACATTCATGAAATCTGAAGGAGGAAGGAGAAGCATACCACAAGTTCATTATAACATATCACAGGTGGGAAGGAGATAAGCATACCACAAGTTTATTAAAGCATAACAGAAGTTTAACAAAGTATACCACAAGTAGGAAGGGGCGAAGGGGAAGAAGAAATATACACAACTTTCGAAAAGCATATCACAAGTTTCTTGAAACATACCATAACATTGAACCTATTTGTAAATTATTAAAAGTTTGGATATCAAAATATAAGAACAAGTTTTAAAAACTAAAACATAATTTTTCATCAATATTTATTAGGGTTATTTGTTAAAAAAAATTAATTTTAGACACTAAAGATTTAGATCTATTAATTTCATGTACCAAGACCGTACCTTTTATATAAAACCATAATAAAGCTATGTGGAGAAGAGGAAGAGAAAATGAAGAAATAGTAGTTACTATACGGGTAATTGATCAAAATGGTCACAAACATCTGAAACGTAACAAAAAGATCACACACGTATCATGTTATAACAATATAGTTATTCCATGTATTTCCATCAATATTTCCATCCAAAATGGTCAATTTGCTTGATCTAAATAAGCGGTAATTTCACCGGTTGGTTAGGTGGTTGATAATTTGTTATCAATTTTTCATGGTGTCATCAAACTAATCGATTATTTTGGATGAAAACATAGCTAAAAAGAGATGAAATAACTGTTTTGTAATATTATGATACGTACATGACCTTTTTGTTACGTTTTAAACGTTTGTGACCATTTTGTTACTGATCCAAACCTATGTGACCATTTTAATTAATTACCTTACTATAAGGGTAATGTCTATTTTTTATCCAAACTTTTTCAGATTCTTTTATATTATCCAAACTTATTAAAATTCTATTAATTAGCCAAATCTTTCATAATGCATCAAAATATTAGTCATTTTTACGTTATTATTAAAAATTTGTAACTCTTTTCTTAGTTAAAATACTAAAGTTTTGGAATCTTGACCTTCATGTGTCTCTTCCAAGTCAGTATCATGTTGCCAAGTCAATATTGCTAACAAAATTGCTAATTGAAAGTTAATATTTGACTAATTCTTAGGATTTCGATAAATTTGGATAATATAAAAGAATCTGAAAAAAATTTGGATAAAAAAATAGATAATTACCCTTACTATATAATACCATTAAAAGTGTTAATAGGGTGGCAAGAGGTACAATGACCTAGAAAACCTAAATAACATATCTGACCTTCCACTAATCAGCAGGATAATACCCCCTACAGCTATGAATGCTAATACTAAGCAAAATATAGCAAAAATTATAACAAGTAAACACAGGGTTCCATCAATCCCGCCGCCGTTGATGTTGTTGGCGATGTTGCAGGTGAATGGAACTCCAACGGTGGAGGGGTTGGGGAGAGGAGGGGCTTGCCTCACCAATGGCAATGCAGCTTCGACAACTCGTTCCATCCCCTTGATGACTTGGTACGGTGTGCAGGCAGATGCACCGCGAAACACACCTGAGAGCATTGAAACGAATGTTCAACATCGACTCGAAAGTGAGCAATGTAGATGAAATGAAGAAAGACTCTTTGCTTATTATATGCAACTGAAGACAGGCACAAAACATACCCCGAAGGATGCCACTTCCGACTTGAAGTGGTGTAGGGATGTCCTCTTCCGACTTGTTTACAGCGATGTCCTCTTCTAACTTCATCACCTTCCTATTTATCCAAACACAATAAAATCAAAATCATTCACAATATCAAGATCGGAGAAGGCTAATGAAGCATGAGCTAGCTAAACCACAGCTTTCTGCTGTAATGAAGCTACACAACAGTAGAAAGGTGTGTGTGTGTATATGAGAGAGTAAATGTACCGCTTGATATTCATGATTGTATCTGCAATGCCCTGACCAAGTAATCCGCACCCAAATGCAACTGAACCATACAACGAACCCTGAACCGAGTAACAACAATATACGCTTGTATCAGCAGAATCGAGTCCAAACTTCTTTCCTAAGATCGAGTTAATGCCGTGGATAAGGCAAAGGAATGTTCAGTCCACACAAATGTAGCAGGATTCAATCATCAAATACCTTATAGAAGTAAGTAGCCAGTTGCTGCATCAAAGAGGATCTATGTCCCGGCCTTCCAGCCTCAACAACACTGCAAGTGATGGAAACATATAGTTTAGCAAATCAAGACTTCAGCATGACGTGTAGATATCAAAAGAAACAAACAGAAGTGAGTACTGAGTAGTAGTAACCTGCTGGGAAGAACAGCACAAGCTTCCTGTGTATTGAGAGGGACTAAGCCAGCTGTGTGAATAGAAGGCTTCCCAATTCGAGCTAGCATACCAATTACAGAAACATTTACTGTAATGGCAGCAAAAGCTTTCCACATCTCAAGCTTTGACCATAAATCTTTCCCCCATTTCACAACTTCGGCAACTGCTGCACTACACGAACCAATTAATACCTGCATTCCATCCACACGAATTGCCCCAAAAAAATTAAGAAAAATCTCACACCCAGTTATGTAAACATGATGTATTCGTTCTCAAAAACCACCAATGACACAAACCTTTGTTCCAACACTGAAGAGGAAACCGGGATCGGCCATCTTCTGATTAAGGAGAAATTGGGCTCGGATTCCGGCGGCCTCGGCAGCTTCCGGCATATAAGCTGGAAGTTCGAGGCCCCGCACCTCATCCGCCATTTTAATCACATCCTCATCCGCGAATAACATTATGGGCCAAACCTCCTTCTCCGCGGCGGCGCCATCGCCGCCGTCATCACCACCGCGACCTCCACCGCCTCCGCCGCCGTGAAACCCTCCATTTTCTCCGGAATCATCGTCGGCGCCGCCGCCCCCGTCATCCAACTGTCGGAGACCCTCGACGGTTATCGAGGAGTCCTTTATCGGATCAGCCGGGGACCCCGATTCCACACACTTGATTGCGCCGGAGGAGGATGCTGATAGCTTGATTCCTGGTCTGGGATTAATGATGGGAAAGGCGGGCATTTTGATGCGCCCGCCGGCGCTGGCTTGGCGGAGGGAAATGGCGGGGCTTTTGAAGCGGCCGGCGGAACAGGATTTAATCGCCGCCATTAGCGTGGAAGAGTTACGAATTTTCCGATCGAATTAGGGCTTGGGCTTGGGCTAGTGGAAATACTGCTGGGCTTGAACCCGCGAGCGATCCAGCAAGCTTTTGAGAGGAAGTAATATTGCCTTGCCTTGCTACCTGTGGCGGGCGGCGTCCGATTTTTTTTTTTTTTTTGACAAAGGGTGCAAACTTTCATTACCAGAGGCATAAGCCAAGCGTTACAAAAAGGGGGAAATGACATCAAGAACGTTAATCCATTCCACAGGGAGCTGATTGCGGGCACGAGACCTAGCCACCCAGTTAGCTCGAACATTAAGCTTTCTTTTAACATGGGCGATTCTGATTCTTGGGTGCGAAGAAATGATGCCTTTGACAACACCAACCGTAGCCGCTGTCCGCCAAGGACATTGACTCGGCGCACCAGAGACCGCTTGTACCAGTTGCAGACAATCAGTCAACACGAGGCATGGCGAGGATAACGCTTCAGCCATCCGAACCCCTTCCAGCAGCGCCTTGGCTTCTGCTTCCAGAGGAGAAAAGCAGCACAAAGATTCAGCTTTCCCATCACAGACCTGACCATGGCTGTTCGTGATAACAACGCCATAAGCCGCCTCCTGGGAATCGTGTAAAAACGATCCATCGCAGTGTATCTCAAAGTCATGAGTACATAGCGGTGATGAAGTCTGATCGGGGGGTGGAATAAGCTGAACAACAGGACTCCGAAGCCCAACTGGAATACGAGGGCAGTTAACCCACTGATGGTGAGCGGTGTTCGCTTTCATCATTGTGTCAGGTGGCCACGGTGGCTTATCCTTGAAGATCTTCTCGTTCCTTGTCTTCCACATCTGCCACATGAGGAACACGATCTTCTGGACCTGGCTATTCGGGAGACCGGGGCTCAAAGCGAACAACCAATCCAACAAACCTGTGAGCGGCGGTGGGATCGGCAAGCTGGGAAACAGGCAATGGTGCAAAGTCTCCCTAGTGTCTTGGCAGATTGGACATTCTCTACTTGGAGAGCACTTTCGAGCATGGAGGTTGTCCTTAGTGGCCATGGCACCCTTGGAGCACCGCCAGAGGAAGAATTTCATCTTCGGAGGGAGGGACAAACTCCATAACCATTTCCATTTGTCATTAGAGGACGCGTGCGGAGGGTCCTCCTGAGACAGAGGAACTCTCGACAGGTTGTGGAAGAAGTGGAAAGCCGAGGCCACGGTGAAGGTGCCTTTCTCAGTGTGCCTCCAGGCCCAGAAATCGTCAGCATTATCGCGTCCAATTGGCGTGCTCGTGACCTTCTGCAGTTCAGCAGGGGAGAGAAATTCCGCCAGAAGATCCGTCTTCCACTCCCTATCCACTGCGTTAATCCAATCAGCCACCAGAGAACTGTTATTGCTTCCCTCCTGACGCAAGACTCCCGCCTCAGCGCTCAGCCACGGGTCCTGGAACAACTTTGTGGATCGTCCGTTGCCGATGACTCTGATGATGCCTTTTTCCATCCATCTCCTAGCCTCCCAAAGACTCGCCCAAATCCACGAAGCCTTCCCTCCCTTACGCGCATGAAGAAAATCCGAACGAGGGAAATATAGTCCTTTGAGGACTCTAACCCAAAGCGCTTCCGGATTGGTGAGGATTCTCCATGCTTGTTTGGCCAGCAAGGCAAGGTTGAATTCATGGAAAGGACGAAATCCAAGACCTCCCTCCGCCTTGGGTGCATACAAAACGTTCCCTGCTTTCCAGTGGATGGTTCTTTTGGTGATCGAACCGGCCCAGAAGAAACGTTTTAACATGCCATCCATCTTCCTGGTTGTGCCTCGGGGGAGTAGGAACAAACACATGATGAACGTTGGGATAGCCTGGAACACCGCCTTGAGAAGTATTTCCTTGCCGCCTGGAGAAAGGAGCAGGCTTTTCCACCCTTCTCCTTTCTTCTCCATGCGTTGAATCAGGAATTGGAACGTCTCTTTCTTCGATCTACCCCACTCAGTAGGCACTCCGAGGTATTTGGAATGGCAGTTGCTGGCTGCAAATCCAATAGTAGAGATGAGAGTATCCTGGTCCTCCAAAATAACATTGTGGCTGAAGAAAACGGAGGATTTTTCCCTATTGACTTCTTGTCCTGTAATTGCCCCGTAATTGTTGATAATGTCCAGGATTTTTTCCGCCTCTCCCACTGAAGCTTCACCGAAGATAACTGTATCATCAGCAAAGAGACAATGAGTGAGCAGAGGGCAGTTCCGATTGAGCTTGAGACCTTTAATATCGTGGTTAGCAGCAGATTTTTCAATGAGGAAAGAAAGCGCATTAGACAAAAGGATGAAGAGGAGGGGGGAAAGAGGATCTCCCTGTCTGATTCCACGGGTTGGACTGAACCCTGAAGTCGGCTCCCCATTGAATAACAAGTTGAAGCTGACAGTGCTAATGCAAGCATGCACCCATCCACACCACTTATCGCCAAATCCATAAGCACGAAGAAGCTCGATGAGATAATCCCATTCCACCAAGTCATAAGCCTTCCTCATATCCAACTTCATCATCATGTGATTCCTGTTTCCTGACTTGTGTTTCTTGAAGTGGTTAAGCACTTCATGGACGATGATGATGTTGTCCTGAATCTGCCTTCCTCCGGTGAAGGCTGTTTGTAATTCATTGATTAGTTCAGGGAGCCACGCTTGAAGTCTGGTCGTCATGATCTTAGTGATCACCTTATACCGAAAGTTGCAGCAACTAATTGGTCTAAACTGACCAATGACTTCAGGAACATCGACCTTCGGAATAAGCGTGATAAAGGTATTGTTCCACCCTTCCGGCATCAGCCCTGTTCTGAAAAACTCAATGACTTCATCACAGAAGCGATCTCCAATCAAGCCCCAGTACCTTCTGAAGAAAATCCCAGGAAAACCATCCGGACCTGGAGCCTTGTTTGCCCCAAGGTCAAAAACAGCCTTCCTGATCTCCACCTTGTCAATCGGTTTCGTGAGAGCATCGTTCATCAAAGGAGTCACCAGGGCCGGGAAGCCATCCAGAATGGAATGGTCAAACACCCCAGCCTTACTTGTGAATAAATCCTGATAAAAGCCAACCGAGTGCTCACAAAGAATCTGCTCATTCTCCATCCACACACCATTCGAGTCCTTTAATCTCAGGATCTTATTGCTATTCTTTCTTCTAATGGTGCTGGCATGAAAGAATCCCGTATTCTGGTCTCCTTCCTGGATCCAGCTGTTTCTGGACCTTTGGGCCCAAAATTCCTCCTCCAAAGTCCACATCAAGCTCAGCTCATTATTCAGGCTTTGCTCTTCCTCAACTTCCGTGTTTGTTCTATTTGGCCCCTGAATCTCTTGAAGTCTCCTTTTTATCTCATTTTCCCTCCCTAGCTTATTCTGCCTGTCGGTGTGAGACCACAATTGGAGCTCCACCTCACACCTTTTGAGGAAAGTGCCAACAGGTAACCCACTGTTCCAAAGCTCATTAATAATGAGGTTGCAATCCTCGTTCTCCCTCCATCTTTTGTCAAAACGAAACGGGGTTCTCCTCCTGTTACCCTTAGGATGAATATCGACTCTGATAGGACAGTGATCGGATTCCACAAACTCTTCATGATAAACCACTGCCGACTCAAAATCCGTTCGCCATTGCGCAGAGCAAATAGCTCTGTCTAACCGTTCTCTGATCAAGTTATCCCCTTGTTGTTTGTTTGTCCAAGTGAAAATCTGACCATTATATCCAAGATCGAGAAGAGCATTGCGGGCGATGAAATACTTGAACGGGGCGACATTCTCATTCCTTAGAGGGCATCTCCCTTGTTTTTCAAAAGGGTGGAGTGCAACATTCAGGTCTCCCACCAGCAGCCAGCTTTCATCCTGATTAGCCCTCAGGTTGGTAAGCCGTTCCCACAGAACCCTTCTCTCTACCTCTATGGTAGGAGCATGGATAAAGGTACAATAAAAAAAGACACTACCCCTACTAATACTTATGTCCATGAAGGACTTACAAGACTCGATAATGGAAACAACAACATCATCCTTCCACCAGAGTGCTAAGCCGCTACCTTCTACTGCAGGGCTGACATAATCTGAGTGATCAAACTTCAGAGCCTTCCTCTTTTCTTCCATGAAGTTGTCGTCCTTCTTGGTCTCCATGAGGAATAACACCGAAGGGCCATACTTTCGGCAGAACCTGCCACAATAGGATCGTGTAAGGGGCTGGCCGTACCCCCTACAGTTCCAGCTCATGATTCTCATTCTTGGTTAGGTGGCTTGAGGCTTGCCACCGTCGCCCTCGGAGATGCCGATTCGCCTTCCCCGGACTGGTATTCCCCAGCTGTGATTTCAGCAATGCTTCTGCGTCGAACAACATGCTTCTTCCTCTGTTTGTTTTTCCCGCTTCCTCCTGGATTAAAAGACAAAGCCTCAGCAGAGAAGTTAGTCGAAGAACTTTGGGAGGGAGATATGTTGAGCTGCTTTGGGCTGCTGGCGGATTTTCTTTTTTTCTCAGGCCTCGGCCTAATGCCTTCCCCCAGGCCCAGAGCATCAGTTTCCTGCACCTGGTACAGGTCTTGGGCTGCTGGGCTCCTTTGCAAGGTTGTAGCAGCTTGGCCCAAATGGGCCATGTTACAGCCCGGTTGGATATATGCTGGCCCGCCGAGGGAGAGGGTGTGGCCCATCTCCACTAGGCCCGTGGCCTTGCCCCTGCCGCTTTCTCCAACATTTAGGTCAAGAGAGTTCTGCATTGCGAGCGCCGCCTCGTCCATCTCTTCCTCCAGCCTTCTAGGTTGACAGCCTAGGGGAGTGTTGAAGTTGATCCCCATAGGGAACCAGTCAGTGACCGTTGGGGTTATGATCTCCCTCATCGCCACTTTTTCAAAGCCTGGGGGGCAGGATGACGATCCTTGCTCTCTGTGACCCGCAGTGCCCGTCTTGAGAAGACCGCCCTGGGTCCCGCGGAGTTGAAGTGGTGTCGGGCCCGATGAGTGCTGGTTTCTTGTGTTCTCCATCTTCCGACGGAAAGAGGCCGGTGGAGTGTTGGCCGGCGAGTCGTGCCCTGCTTTCAGCGCCGCCGTGTAAACT